GCATGGTTTTGTCTACCAAGGTCAGAGTGAAGAAGGGCAAGTACTTTCTCCTCCTGATCGTCCCCTGGGGACTGGGCTTCTCTTTTATTTTTTGTGTTTTATGAGGAATGAGGCAGAACCACAATCAAAGTGGACCTTAGTTATGAGGAGCTGAGGGTCAAAGAAGGGTGTTGGGCTCCCTGTATGTAAAGTGCCGAAGTCCTTTGTTCAAATGTTCAGACACAACCTTATAAGAGGAAATCAGGCACAGCTAGTACACTGATGGGCAAAGGAGTGCAACTGTCTTTTTCTCTAGGGGTACTGACCTATCTTCCCTTTTTATTTATTTATTTTTTAAAGTTTTTGCTATAGGGTGCACGTGTTCATCAGAAGCAAAGAGAGGGAAAGTGAGAAATCATCCCCCAGAGAGGATGGCCACACTACAATCCCTTCTGCTCTATTCTCCTCTCAGGATTCTGGGCATGCGCGCACACGCACACATACACACAGTGGTTTTCAAGCTTCTAGGCCAGGTAGGAAGCATGGTCTGCCAAACCCCAACCCAATCTTCCATTCTCCAACCTTCATACACTTCACTCCCACATTTCACCAGAAGCTACCCATTCCCTCCCCACCTACAGTTACTGGGCAAACAGCCTTGTTTGGGGAAGGTGAGTGTGTCCTTGCACATTGATATACTCCCTAAGCCCACTGGGTTGGCCCATTTCCCCTCCTGGGAAGTTTGGAATTTGGGCTTAGAAGTCCAATTCCCACCAAGTTGTGCCCATAAGTAAAGGAGATATGACTCGGCATCTGTTAACAGTGGATATTTTCTCCCAAATGGCTTAGAAAATAGAGAAAACTGCTCTGTAGCCAAGTAGATGAGTGAAATAGTCTGGCAGAGGAGCTGAAAAGAATGAGGAAATCATTAAGTTTCCATAGCACTTTGTTCAATTGCCAGAGGGCATGTGCATGCACCAGAAAGAGAAGGGGAAACCGTGAAAGTACTCCCTCCCCAATGGACATGGTTATGCCACAGTTCCTTTTCCTCCATTTTTCCATTCTATCAGTATTTGAGTCATATACAAACAAATGTCTGGCGTGTTCTTCATGCCTCAGGAAGCAGGATTTGAACTGTGGTCAACCACATGGGATCTGCTCCCTTAACCACTAGGCAACAGAGCCAGCCCTTCATAGTGCTTTTAATGCTGATTCCAGAACATCCTTAAGATCCAGCTGCCTCTTGAACTTGGGTTCCTAAAGAATCCTTTGACTTGAACTAGAGCTCATGTAGATTTCTGTTGCTTGTAACAGAAATAATATCCACTTATCAGAAATCAACTCTAAAACCTGGGAATAGCCAAGGCAGAGCACCGTGGGTCTCCTCTGATGACCTTTCCTGCAGGGCCTTGCAAATCCAAACTATTAAATATGTTTTAAGTCTCATTTTGCCATCTCACTCATCAGAATAAAATATGAGCTTGGGGAGGACTCTATTACATCTAGACACCTTCCTCACTCCTGATTACACTGACCACACGTGAAGTCTTGCATTTATTTTAGCTGCCAGGGTTTGTTTTGTTTTCTTTAGAGAGATTTTTGCTATACAGTGCATGCACCTGCGAGAGAGAGAGAAAGCAAGAAATCACCCCCTGGTGTGTGTGTGTGTGTGTGTGTGTGTGTGTGTGTGTGTGTCTGTAGGGAGGAGTGGCCACATTGCAATCATTTCTCTTCCATTCTCTTCTCAGGATTTTGAACACACTCGCACACGAGTTTTTAACTCGTGTAACTGAAGGCATGAGTTTAAGCCTCTGGGTCCAGGACCCAAACCGCAGTGGGAGCCCAACAACGTAACCATTATACCATTTGCTGGTGCTTTAACTACCATGTTTTAAGAAGGATAATAATATTGGGTTGTCAAAAAAGTCATGATGCATTTTCAGATATAAAAACACATCTTGACTTTTCTGACAACTTGATAGTTCACAGTCCCTTATTCGAAATTCTTCAGGCCTAACATTTTTGGAATTTAGAATTTTTCAGATTTTAAAAAGTATACTCCATAAATCACATAATATATAGCTCCTCTGACAGGGTCTAGATTGTCCCACTAATCAAGTTAACATTTCTGCAGCAAAATGCACCATTGAAATGAAATAAATAATGATTAGAAATAGTTTCACACCAAGTTTTCCTTCCAAATAGCTTCATGTCAGATTTCACCCTCAAGTTACTAAAAATATAAATTGCAGAGCTTTCAGTATTGTGGTCATAAGCCATTTCTATCTCCTAATTTACAGATAAACCTTTGACCAAAGAGGTTAAATACCTTATTCAGGGTGACCGACATAATAATTTGACAAATTGAAATTAGAACTCAGGCAGTCTAGTTGTAAAGACTACAGCCTTAACCATCACCCCATCCTGTCAGTCCACTGTTAAATTGCTGCTTCATACTTGACCACAATCAAGGATAGAAGGCTGACTCCAGGTCTCAAACATGACAGAGATAGAGTAAAAGAATGGGACCTGCTTAACATAGAGAAGGCCAAAGAGCAGATATGATCTTTTCTTCAGATACCTATCTCCTTCCCAAATTCCTTCCCAAACATCATTTTTAACAAGGAGACATCAGGCTACTAAAAAAACTGAGGGAAACCTTGCAAGAAATAAAAGGTTCTGAGAGAGAGGAGCAAGGAATATGTATAAGAAAAGCAGAGAGACTCTACTTTTTGCCAAGTAAAGCAGAGAAGCTATGAATGTCAACAAGTTTTTATCTTTTAGTTATTCGTTCATTCATCACTCACTGGATATCTACTTCACGTAGAATGTGTTCAGCTCTGAAAAGTGCCAGAGAACAAACTGTCCCTGGCCTACGAAGCCCTCTATAAGTCTGTTCCTGGTTGCCTTTCTGATCTATTTTTACATCTTCTTTTTCTTTCTGCTAAATCCCGCCACACTAGTCCTTTCATCCCACAAGCCTTTTGAGATCTTCCCCCACCAGGATCTTTGCCCCTACGGTTTCCTGTCTGACATTTCTTGCTTTCTGCTTACTGCTCAGTTGTTCAGGTTCTCCAGTTATACAGGTCAATGAGGGCTTCCTCAACCATGTAACTGAGGGAAACACCTAGTAGCTTATTCTCCTGATAACTTTCATCTTTGCACTTAATGGTATCTAACTTTATTTTTTCCAGTTTTGTCTTGTTTTTTAAAGGTTTTTTGTCATAGGGCACATGTGCTTGCCGGAGAGAAAGAGAAAGGGAAAGTAAGAAATTGCTTCCCTCCCCACATATGCAGGGAGATTACAATTACATTGCAATTCCTTCTCCTCCACTCTCCTCTTTGGATTTGGGCACTCACACATACCTGGCATGATTTTCAAGCTGCCATGTTCAGGGCTAGAACCACAGTTGGCCATGTTACAGTTCAACACCTTAACCACCACTCCATGTGCTGTCTCCTTTTCAGATTTTTGTTTACTTTCTTCCCCTACTGAATATAGCTCTATACAATCAGGAACCTCATCTGTTTTGCATTCTACTGTATTTGCAATGTTTTGAATAATGTCTAGCACATAACAAGTAATCTATAAATATTTATTGAATAAATTAATGTGAGAAATTGAGCTTCCACTTAGGGGATTATGTTAGTTTTATTGTTTTTGAAAGCCTTTGGTTGTAGACTTGAGAAAAATCAGTGTGAGCTCTGTGGCTAAGTTGTCTAGTAATATCCATCTTCCTCATCTTCAATAAAAATAACTCCTGAGCTGTAGTCTACTAGCTGTAGTCACCCAGCAACCTTTTCAGCTGGATTTAGCCAACATGGTTGAGGGAAATTGAGTGTGTCTTTGCTGAGATAAATGTACATGCCTCCCTTATCTCTTGTCCCCTTCAGGGCACAGGATCTAAAGTGACCCCCTTTGAACACAAAGATAAATTTTGTGTTGGCAAAGACACCTTGCCAGCCTTGGACAGTTTCCTTCTGGACTATTATATTACATAGCAAAAAATAAAATCCTATCTTGTTTAAACCTTTATATTTAGGGATTTTTTAGTTATAACAGCTAGACCAGTACCCTACAACTAATATGTATTTTTAAGTCTTTCTCAACAATTTAGGGTATTCTTGCTGTACCTGGTCTGTCTCTACCAGAAACTACTAACTCAAATACTACCTCCATCTCTTTTATTTTTATCCTTATTGTTTTTTGAGTTACTTTCTGTGTCCCAAAACATTGCATTTGGAATGTTTCACTTGCAGGACAAGAAACACATTCAGTAACTTCCTACTAGGAGCCAGTGACTATGCTAAATGTCTATAATATCTTGTTTAATTCTCCCAATATATCTATGGATATGATATCATTTTTTACTTTATATGTAAGTAAACATATTTAGAGAGGTCAGGTATTTTGTCCAAATTTATATTGCTAGTAAATGACTGAACTGGGATTTGAACCCAGGGGATGTATGAGCTTGCTCTTTCCACTACTCTGAACTTACATCATGGCATGCACAAAAGAAAAAAGGGCTTACATTTAATATTTTTATTTTAGATTTAATGTAAATGCATGACTTTTACTTCATAACTTTGCTCTTTATTTATGATATTTTTATCTAACTCTCCATCCCTTAGTGCCATGTTTATTTTTATCGTTTTTTTTTTAATTGTGGTGTAGGCCAGCACCACAGAGCCACAGTTAAGTGCTTTGTGTAGGGAGTAAGATTCTACATGGCCAACTGTGGTTTGAGTCCTGGCCCTAGAGGCTTGAAAAACACTGGGTGTGTATATATGAATGCCAAAACTCCTGACAGAATGAAAAAATGGAAACAAGATTATAGCATGCTTATGCCCCATTCTCTCTCTCTGGCAAATACACATACTCCCTATGAAAAAACATGTGGAAATATATAACAAATGTCACCATTGTAGTCACTTTTAAGTATACAGTTCAGTAGCACTCACGTTGTTGTCCAACTACCATTACTCTCTACCTTCAGATATTTTTTTACCAGCCTTGAAAAAACTAGCAAACACTCTACAACTTTTCATGTCCTCCTGGTGCCGGAGCCATGCTAATGCCTCAGTAATGTTCCCATTATAGTATACGTGCTATGAAGCATGCACGGAGGCCTTGTGTTTATTGAGTCATTGGTTTTCTAATCCTTGGCTCCTCATGCCCCTTCTTTCCTTCTCCCTATGACCTGCTGACTGCAACTTAGTAATGAAACGAGTGTCCTCATCATGCTCATGTGCCTCAGGGGTCCGTTAGAGAGAGGACTGAGAAACAGGGATGACTATTTCCGCTCTCTCCCCACACCTCTACCAAAGAGTCAGAACAAAGAAACCAGAGAATACTTACCAACTGCCCAACTGAAATCTGAATGTTTTGAAGTTTCTCAGCCCCTCGAACAGGGAGCTAGGGACTCTGATTTGCTTTGGAACCATGAAAATGAGACTTCAGAGTGTCACCAAGTACTAGGGCTTGAGGAGGATATGGGGATCACCAACTCCTGTGTCCCTTTCCTCCCCCCAGGTTCAGGATGAGGTCATCAAGGCTCCAGACAGACAGGAGGCAGATAACTAGGTAGGATTCCTGACTCCTATCTGAAGCTCTACCTTGACATCTACAGATGAGTCCTTCTCCACCAAATACCCTCCGATTCCTTTTAAGGTTTTTTACTATAGGGCCCGTTTGCTTGCTGAAAAGAGACAGACAAAAGGAAAGTAAAAAATCACCCTCCAGGGGGTGGCCACGTCATAATCCCTTCTCCTCTCAGGATTTGTGAGCACACAGAAACACACACATGTACCCAGAATAATTTTCAAGCCACTGGGGCTGGGACTCAAACCACAGTCAACTATGCCGGAATCTAGCACCTTACCTACCACACCACTTGTGAGACCCTCCTTCTATTATTTCTTAAATCCATTTAAAAGCCTTTTCCTTCTCCCTAACTAATGCTGCAAGTCCTATCAACTCCTCACAGTAGGACCATTTAGTTCCTTGGGTCCTTTAGACCTTATGCTAGGGTGCTACTAAGAAACCTTAAAAAGGTATTCATAGGAAGCCATCTTGAATGTGGCAGGATTTATTCCCCCAGTGGGGAACATTGTTGGAAAAAGCCCTCAGCTACCAGTCCTCTCAGGAATTGCCCTCACCTATGGACAGCCATCTCACCTAAGGTTATGCCCCCTTCCCAGGGCAGCCTGTATCCAACAACAGGACCCTGACACTGAATACACAAGGCCATCCTAGCTCCAAGCTCTCTCTGGAGCTGCAGAGGTCGGTTATGAATACATGAGGCCAGGCGCCTCCCTTTGTCCAGTGTGGCGTACTTCTCTCCCCCACAAGTGCTAATAAACTTCCTGCACACGAACCTATCAGAGACTGCTCCCTGGGAAGCCAGCCTGAACAGCTCTAAAATAAAAATTAAGAGGTTGCAATGAATAACTGTTTTATGGAATGTTCACAGATGCCATGTCGAGTCCGTTAATTGTTAAGTCAGTATTTACGGGGGCCAGTAGGTAGCGCAGTGATTAAAGCACTGGACTTACACATAGCCAACCATGGTTCCAGTCCCAGACCTAGCAGCTTGCTTTTCCACTTTCCCTCTCTCCCTGTCTCTCTCTAGTGAGTGCACATGACCTATAGCAAATTTAAAAATAATAAAATCTAAAATAAAATAAACTTAGCAGTTATAAACATTTAAATGTCATTACCTCTAGTCACAATATGTAGGTTAGTATTTCTCATTTCACACAGATTTCAGCCTATACATAACAGCTGCTGAAAAATCATAGAAAATAAAATTATAAACTAAATGCAGTATTTACAGTCAAATGATTTCTAAAGTCAAGTCATTAAGCAGTATGACATTGCTAATATCCGACCATGATTGGGGGCCAGCAGGTGGCATGGTGGTTAAGACTCTGGATTCCCACATGTCTGACCATGTCTCAGGCTTGGCTTGAAACTCTCACCAGGCCCATGTGTGTGTCTGTGTGTGTGCCCAAAATCACAAGAGAAGAATGGAAAAGGGACTGCATCATGGCCATCCCCCTAAGGGGTGATTTCTCACATTCCCTCTCTATGTCTCTCTACAACAAGTGCACACACCTATAACAAAACCTAAAAATATATTTATGTATATCTGAATAGCTTTGACCTTTAGAAATGACAATTTCATATAGTCCCAGAAATCTCATAAAAAAAATACTTAGCAAAAGTTATACTTAATTTGGGATATGGGTGCATTCTAATGTATTTGCCTTCCAACAGTAAACATGGCAGAACCTATGAAGATGTTAAAAATACCCTTGCCTCTTTGGAATAAAGAGGCCACACCAAAAACTAGAGACAAGAGTCAAAATAATATCAAGATTTGGGGGCAAAGAAAGGAAATAGAAGCACAGACCTAATTCCCTCTGCATGACTCTTCACAGAATTTGAAGCACTTCCTGCTTCTCAGGATTTCGTCCTCATCTCCAGCTCCCAGGTCTTCTCTCCATTTTCTCCTTTCCTTCTCACTCTCACTCTCTTTTAGAGGAAAGCATGGCAGGGAGAAGGGTCCAGGCTCATGGAAAGGAAAGAAATCATGAACGATGCTCCTTTCAATAATAGGTTTTGCCTTGATAATGTCAACGTTTGAGAATTCTCTACAGCCTTTCAGTTCCTCAGGACGATGCCTCAAAGCTCTACAAATAAGCTATTTAATCTACTTCTCCAAAAAATGTGTTGTCCTCGCAAATACTAGTCATGATGTTTCAGTCCATTTTGTTGCTACTAACAGAAAATTCCTGAAACTGGGTAATTTATAAAAATAGAAGTTTATTCAGCTCATAGTTTAAAGGTCCGAGGACCAGAGGCCACATCTGGTAGGTTTCTTGTGGAATCCCGAGCATCCCATCAGGTGAGTGAGAGCAGAGGGGCTGTCCATAGGGCTCTCTGCTCTGATCTCATTCTCTCTCCTTTTAAACCCACCAGAACTCAATCCTTGGGCTCCATCCTAAAGACTTAATCCTAATCCTGTCCTAAAGGCCCCACCTTTCCACACCAGGAAATTATTAAGTTTCCTCTAATACCTTCACAATACAACCAAATTCCAACACATGAATTTGTAGGGCAGGGAGACACTCACACCATAGCACATGAAAGAAGCTCTGACTTTTTTCCTGCTGTTTAACTATTTTGTTCATTGTACTGATTTGACACAGAAGTAAGCATTTCTGTATTTCACTTATATCTGATCAAACTGTACAAATCTAACTGTTGGTGTGGAGAACATTAAGCTCCTACAGTGTGAGTTCTCATCACTGTGCTTACCCACATCTGAATCTGTGACTGTTCCTTCTCTCACCCTGTACCAGGGTGCCTGTGAGAGGCCTCTATCGGCTCAGGGCACCCTCCCCAACCTGGTAGAGGCAGCTAAAGGTTGGGCTGGACCAGACCAGTGAGACAGAAATGATGCCAATACCTAGACCTTGTCTTTAAGAAGCTGAAAATGTTATAGGCGGGAGCATCCAACATGCAAAGCTCTAAGTGCTATATGAAAAGGGTTTCTTTAGGGGGAAAAAAAAAAGAGTTCAGGACCAGCCCTGAGAACTGGTGTTTAAGGGAGCCAGATCCCACATGGCCAACAATGCATTTCAAATCCTAGACCCAGCAGCTTGAAAAAAGCACAAGTGCATGTTGTGTGTGTGCCAAAAATTCTGAAAGAAGGGAAGAAATGGAAGAGAAGGGATTGTGGTGTAACCACAACCTTTTGGAGGGTACTTTCTCCTTTTCGCTCTCCCTGCTTCTCACTGAGAAGCTCACCTTGCCCACTGACATTTAAAAAAATAGTTTGCAAGTTTGAAGGAAAAGATTAGCAGAAGGTGGGAAGGACTTCCTGATGAGGCAGTTTTAATAAAAACAATTTTTCCTTTTACATTTTACGAATGTTTCTGGTTACAAAAGCAACACATATTTGGGGTAGAAAAATTAGGAAAACTGGAACTAGCAGAGGGTGTAATGGTTACACCACTGGACTCCCACATAGTTGACCATGGGTCAAGTTCCAGACCCAGCAGCTTAAAACACACCAGGCATAGGACCAGCACTTGGCGTAATGGCTATGTTGCTGGACTCCCATGTAGTAGAGCGCGGTTCGAGTCCCAGACCCGGTGGCTTAAACTCACACCAGGCGCGTGTGCGTGCATGCCCAAGATCCCGAGAGGAGAATGGAGGAAAAGGGATTGTAGCATGACCATCCCCCCTGGGGGGGGTGATTTCTCGCATTCTGTCTCTCTGTCTCTTTCTGGCAAGCGCAGATGCCTGATAGCAAAAACTTCTTAAAAAAAAAAAAGGGGGGTGGGGGTGGGGGATTCTGTCTCTGTCTTTCTAGCAAGCACATGCACCCTATAGCAAAAACGTCTTTAAAAAACAAACAAACAAAACAACAACAACAAACACACCAAGCAATGGAGCCAGCAGGTGGCATGGTGGTTAAGGAAGCTGGGTGCCCACATGGCTGACCATGGCTTTAGGCCTGGACCTAGTAGCTTACTTTCTCTGTCTCTCTCTCACTCTATCCCTCTCTGGTCAAAACAAAATAGATAAATTCTTAAAATACATAAAGTTTAGTTCTTAAAACACACTGGGCAAGTGTGCAGACCAGTGAGACAGAAATGATGCCAATACCTAGACCTTGTCTTTAAGAAGCTGAAAATGTTATAGGCGGGAGCATCCAACATGCAAAGCTCGAAGTGCTATATGAAAAGGGTTTCTTTAGGAAAAAAAAAAAAAGAGTTCAGGACCAGCCCTGAGAACAGAATGGAGGACAAAGAGCAGAATGGAGGACAAGGGATTGTGGCATGATCCCTGGGGGTAATTTCTTGCTTTCTGTCCCTCTAACTCTGTCTCTCTGGCAAGTGTATGTGCCCTATAGCAAAAATCTCTTCCTCAAATGGGAAAATTGTATATGTATAATACACACACATTTAAATTAGCCCCATCTTGCTACTTAGATATGACTTCCATAAAAATTGTTAAAAATTATTCCAAATTAAATGTTAAAATGTATTTGAAAGGGAAAAAAGGTAAAATGAAATGAAAGAGATTTAGTTTTATAAATATATTTCTTCAA